ATTATCCTCATTTTAATGATTCGGTCCGGTAGCAGGCATTTATGTTTGCTCAACGGTTTCTGAAACTTGACGCGCCATTCACCCAAATTGGGTGTCTTATCTCAAGTGAAAAAACAACAGCTTTCAGGTGCTTCCCTATGTGATCTTATATTTACAACTACAGAGAGACACTAAGGAGTTTTACTAACGCTGAACTTACCATTTCACAACTGTTAGTGAGATTCCCAACAGCATTAAATACCATGTGTATATCTGCAATGAATTTGAGTAATTGGTCAAATAAACGGAAACACAACAGCTAGGAAATTTGTAATTTTGTTTTATAAATCCTATGTATGTTTTCATATAAAGATATATATTCGCTGGAGTTAGACACCAAGAATAGTTGGATAATTGGCAGCAACTTATTAAAAAAGCATTAAAACACTATCGCATTTTTCCAACATGGACGCCTTCCTTGCGGCGACAGCAACGCTGATCAGTGCTATGTCCTTCTTCTGGGTAAAAGTCAGGTCACATTAGCTAGGGTCCATTGAAGCATAACGAAAATACATTACATTTGTCAAGCACTAGTATCGTCCTGCTTTGGTGTTTGAGCCATATTCTATACGGGATGACCACACCTAACATTTACTTTGTGCTGATCGACCCTCACGTATAGCGCAGAGAAGTCTTGCCTCACCTACTTGTGCCGTAGTTCTTTGTTTACCACAGCTGTTCCACCCCAACTCCAATTATCGCAGCATTAAGCATCATTGGGAAAATTAACCACAGGGATTGTTACGTTTGGTTATCTATGTTTTCACAGATTAGGTAATGTCCGGTGTAATTACCGCGCGAGCATTAAGGGTGTTCGACGTTGACTACTTGTGAAGGAAGAGCAAGTAAATTGATCTGAGCCGCTATACCACGCACGAGGCTCTAATGGCTATGCGGTGTATTGCGCATGACAGCAAACCGATCCCTCGACGTGCGCCTTTTGCGTGAACATCATCTGGACATAAAATTCAGAAGAGAAGCCAGGTTATGACGTGATCAAGAAGAGTGAATGCCTTCACCTCAGGGATTGCCTCAGCTGGAACCTGTAGACTTTCTGGTTGAAGTCCCAATGAGGAAAAGTTCATTTAATTGGATACATTTTGATGGCTAAAAGCGGACCACAGTGGCGGTTGTGTCATGGGTTTCGTGCCTTCCAAGCTGCTTATTTTCTCACATATTCACGATAGCACACTCAATGCATAACAGTGTACTGTGCATTAAACTTTTATTTTTATAGCATTTTGTAGTCTTCAATGTTCAGTGTTTTTATTGAGGCAGATTAGCTAGCGTGCGCTTCGAAATTGCAAACAACGTGCTATGAAAATGATGACGGCTGACAGTGTGTCGACCAGACAAGCGGCTTTTTGCACATGTTACTTGAAGTTGTGGTACAACCTCTTATACAAGCTTTGTTTCTGAGGAGTGTAACTCTTGCCTATAGCGACTATGACACGGAGGTATGGGCTTGTGCTCTCACGCATATGTGTCTGCGAAAGAATTATGCCTCACATAGAACTGGTCTCAAGTGTCCCTGCTGGCTACTGTTTGGACGAAATTAGAGTGACGCAAACTCAAGATTTTAGGTTGCTGAGGAAGTTTAACTTCACATAGTACTTCGGGCCAGAAGCAATACACACTAAAATGCTGCACAATTTGTAGCGGAAAGGAGTGGACACATGACTTCTAGATGTCTGAAGTGATTTAACATCTGCGTCTTGCCACTTGAATAGAGGGAAACTGTGATCAAACAATTCAGCTAATTTTAGACTTGCCGGTATGATAGCATGGTTGTTAAGGCAGTTAAAATCTGACATGATCTTCAGTGGAGAATTATTTGGAAAAGTTATGTTCCCACTTGTCATATACATTTCGCCAAGGATTTTTATATCAAAGGATGTCGCTGCTGGCTGCGCAGATCTGGGCTGAAACTGTTGACTTTACCACATGGTGGACTTACTGATCTTTGATTCCACTAGAGCCTTTGTTACTGTCCGTTATTTGAAGCTCTCATTAAAGGTGAGATAACATCTGGTCGCGCATAAGTGATAGATTTTGGATGAAGAGAATATTGTACAAGCGTTGGATTTACTCATCCGTTTCGACAGACATTTCTTAGTAGTGTACATCAGGGCTCCGTCATGAGCCTGCTGCTTTTGGCAGTCCCCTTACATGTCTTTTCTGCTGATCTCAAAGTTCCATAATGTTATCTACCAGTTGTTTAGATTTAACATACTGTGAATGTCAATGTGAATCCTAAGACTTCAACGGGGTCTACCTAGACTAAAATCGGTTTATCTTATGGTTTCTGCCTAAGTGTTAAATCCTGCGTATCGCAGTGGCTAATCCATCTGAGTTATTTGCTCCATTCGGACAAGGTCCATCTCGTTATATATCAGTTGCTCTAGGGATTTTTATTGTATCTTTATTTAACCAATAAACAACAGGAAGAAGGCGATTAGCAAAGAGCTTCTTATGTCGTGATTTATCCGTCGTACAATCGGGATATCAACAGCAGTTTTGTCGGTGAATATCTTTACAGCTTCTTGTGAACCAATGTAACTTAGTGCTTCCATGCCGATCCACCACACATGGTTTTGGATAAATCGGAGCTCGAAGGTTTGGTTTTAGTCGATATTGGGTTATTCTCATCTCGAGTGTCTAGCTAGTTTCAGAAGCAATTTAATGCATCATCGGTGGTTTCGTAGGAATTAGATTCTTATCAATCGCATTTACACCTGAAAGATCGTTACAATCATATCCTGGCTACTTAGCTTCACTTAATTATCCCTTTTCTCAGTCCATCCATCAAACTGCACAAGCCGCGTCCTGAGGGGTTAGGGCAGACAATCGTTTCTCGCGCCGAATTAAAAAACGCTGTAACTCATTTCCGCAGGTTGTGGTAGACGTATCAACAGCAGAAAGCTTTGAAAATCAGCTAGATGCTTTGAGGCTGCATCAACTAATTTACCTTTCTTCTTATTGATTCCTCTCTTCAGTATTATATATCTTACTTTTCTGTAGACCGGTAGCCGACTGGTCTGCACGCTTGGCTTGCAACCATATAGGCATGGATTCAAATCCGGTTAGAGGCAGGCGTTCTCGTGGTTTAATTAGCCAACACGCGACTGGCGTTGTACCCGCAGCAGGGAAATACCGCTACGAAGTACAACTGACACTTGATTCTTGATTATGTCAGTTTTATGCAAGCATTCCTCTCATCCCACGCTTTCTTTACATTGCACTTATTAATTTTTCTTATTTTACATTACCGATACGGTTCGGATTTCTAATGCGTGCGCAACGATTAGTTAGCCGGGGTGTCGATCGTGTGGTTCACAATAGAATCGTTGAAAATTCAAACATTTTAGCTCTGCTCTGTCCAAGTACGCAAACAGGAAGGACTAATGAACATGATTTGTCCACCGTTCCTGCCTCAGTTAAATTAGATTTGTTGCTGGAATCACCGAAGCGAGGCATAATTTACTGCAAATGCCAATTGATCAAGATAACTGAATGTGAATATTTGTTTTATATTGCCCAACTCACTGCATTTGGTAGTTATAATGATATTTTAAGATGCGCAGTCAGGGGTGCAATATTACGTAATAAGTTTGTAACAAAGTACGCAGAAATCTAATAAAACAGTTGGTTCCCCAAAACGTTCATACCCGACTATTTTCTGTCCACTGACAGATTTGTACATTAGGGAGCGAAGTGCTAACGTTAAAACATATGCAGTAGTTAAAGTTACTGCACTTGTCCGTAATTATCATGATGTGCACATAGAGTATGTAGTCGGAACAGTTAAAACAAGAAAGTTGTTACACGAAGTCGTTTGGCTAAACGATATGCAATTAGCTATGCCATGTTTCGTCTCCCTTTCATTATATAAAGTCTATTGTAGATTTGTTGCCGAAGGTTGAGACTTTCAACCGTTGCGTCATTTTAACTAGGCATTATTGTGCTATGTCGTATGTGTAAATCATGCAGTAACTTTAGTTTCTGGTGAATTTAGTTGATGTGTTCAAAGTACTTATTTTTCTTCAGCTAATTCATCATTGTCACTCCCAATCAGCAGGCTTAGGCTAGTCTGTAAAAGCACCAGACGCCTGCGTTTCGACCTTCTGGGTCTCGTCAGTGATGCGTCTCCCAGTGGACAAATGCCAGGTTCCGCACCCATATTTTTTCTATTGATATAACATGACCTTATGCTACCGCAGCGCAGATGCCAGGTTGTTTCAGCTGGTACTACAATCTAATACTGAGAATTTTATGGGTTGGGTTAATTGCCCTCGTAGCTCGAGTAACTAAAAGGTATCCGCTGGAGTGACTGTTGGATCTCCGTGAGTGACCCACATTTGTGCTCCTGTTCGTCCCACTGGGGCACATATTGGACGACTTTGGTCACTCAGAGTGTATTTTGCAACGCAAAATTGCCATATACGGTAAACGCCTTTTCCTGGTTAAAAGGTTTTCAAACTCGAGCAGAAACCGAGTCCTATCTTTCAATTACGCAACACTTTAGCCGTTAGGCTAAACCGGAAATGTTTTTGACTTGCTGAATGTCGTCTTATATGTGACCAATTTCGACGGCCAATGGCATAAAATTGGTAACTCAGGGGCTGACCGAAGTTACCATTTTATCGTAAAAATTTTATGCAAGGTATGGCGGTGCAAAGAACGTATAATCTTATTTAGCAACCTATCTGGACATACAGCGCTATTTATTTTCTTATTTACGTTTTGCCTCTGTAAGTGACAAAAACGTGTAAATAGGATGGTTGGCCTGAATTTGTATGTAAAGGGTGCGGTGTGGAATTTGCTTGCAAACCCACCAATTTACATTATGCGCAGTAGACCGGAAGGCTGCTTGGAAAAATACTATGTAGCAGTTTTTGATGGCATGCTTTATTATACCAACCATTTAATTTAATGGGTGCAACTAATTAGATGTATACAAATTACTCACCTTTGTTCGATTCGTTAGACACGACTTTGGTAACTCGAGTACAGTGGTCAGAAGCACTGTTAATCCTATCGGTAATAGCTCTGATTGTTTCGTACACGATATCAGACGGAAGGAAGTGATGCGGTTGAAGTTGTAAATTCAGTAATATTTCAAATATACTCAGGCTTCCAACTTGAGCGACCTTTTCAGACCGACAGCCAGTTAAAATCTTGACGTAAACTAATTGGTCGATCTTTTCTTTGATCTGTTGGAGAATGATTGAATTCATTCACATGCTGCTTGCATTATGACAGCATGGTAATTGGTTAAATACAATTAATATTAAGCAGGTATTTGCGAAATAATGACAGTTCTATGCCAAAAACGTGACGGTAGATCTTACCTACTTGTCGTAGTAAGCGATTGACATACATGATGATGCTGTGAACAGCGTGATTAATTTGTTATACAGTGTGAGCTAGTGGTAGGACCTATAAATATACCGTTTCCTTCTTCTGTGGCCTTCAATTTACTATACCTATTGTTGTTTTATTGGTTTTGCAAAAATGGATTGATCGCTTCTTGTATCAAATATTGCCATTGTCACTGAGATTGATATTCCCCAATGTAATGGGTTCTCATGTTGATTTAACCTCCCCAGTACGCTGTTCTCCTGTCCGGCGTGATCTTGTCTGTAGTTGCTTTATTCTGCATTTGGTTAAAGTCGACTGTACGGTCAATCCTTGGGTTTGATTTATCGGCAGGCACTTGACACGTTTTTCTTCGACATTCATCAAGATTGCCGGTGGGAGTTTGAATACCGACCGCCTATATTCTCTTCGCTTTCCACTGCAGGTCATCTAGGCGACAGTAACTTATTCCACCTGTCCGATAAGGAAAAACCTGTTGTACAGTACTAATATCCCATGTTCAACGACCTTTTCTGTTCGTCAGGTCCGCCCCTGGATCGGATTTGCAGACTTTGCAGCGACAGCTGGCAGTACTACACGTACAGTAGTCCGAACCTATCGCAGCGTTCATCAGTCACTCTGAGCATCAGCAAATTAACACAAGTCATGATTTCGGTAGGCGCCGAGGACGCGCCTGCTAACAACAATGACAGTGTAGCGTATCAGGAAGTCTCTTTGCAGCAGGCTAAAATGTAAGAAGTTCTCAAAGATTCCAAAGAAGGCCATGGTCGTTTTCTCTAAAACTTATCATTCGCATTCGCTATTATGTGCTTGATGGCAGCCACCTTTCGTTAGTGTTCACACTATCGATCTAATACGGCACCCACATCAGTCCTGTATCGGCAGTATTGATGACAGCATCCAGCTATCCACAAGGTGTGCATCAGGCGTGCTCTCTTTGCAGCTCCGTGTCATGATAGAATTTGGAAATGAAACGATCCAACCGCCTACGAATTATCACTTTCGCACTTTAGCTCACACGGTTTAGTACGACCCAGTTACGTCCTTGACAGGAATGCCCTCGGAACACTGGCCCGGACGCATATTTTATCTATTATATTATGAATACCAAGGTCGAGATAAGGAGGACAAATAGTAGCTAGTTGTTTTTTATCTCATATTTTTACGCCATGTGAAATAAATGTTAAGAAATACCTTGCGAACCCTGTTCTGTCCACCGAAGAAAAACTGCATGCATCTTGTTCAGCAGTGTATGATATTTGCTCGGAAATGCAGATCTTATTACTCGAGGGGCAGAAATAAAACTATTCGCTTTTAGCCACGTTTAAAATGTTGAGCTTTTGTTGTCCACTTAGTATATCTGCAGTTGGTGACGCGAGATGTTGAAAATGCACCCAACTGGGCTCACATGACTTATCCTGACTGAGTTATTCTGACCATTTATGCACAATGTTTACTGTTTGCTTGGATTTTCTACATCCATGGCAAAGCAAGATAGAGAACGGGCAAACTGATACCGAAAGTATATCCATGACATTTTACTTTTGTAGTATACGATCAGCAACCAACCTAACGTACAATTTGTCCTACATAAAAAAGTTCGGCTGACATTGCACATTGTACAAATTTGTATTACATGTATATATTTATATATATAAAGGGCTAGGTAAATAAAGCGATAATTCACCTTATTACAATTCTGTACGAAGTTCTAACTTTTCACATATTTAACAAAAAGAACAGCTGTAACCGGTTTTGCAATTTACCACTTTGGTAGAGATTTTTAGTAGCAATGGACACGGTAGCGACTGACAAGTTAAACTGATCGCCGTGACTTCGATTTTAAGCATTTTCGTTACATTGTCAAACACGCTGATATTACGCAAACTGTATCAACCATTCGCAGGCGACCGATTTCGTGGTCACACACAAAAAATTTAAGTAGAATAAGTACCCGACAAACCGATTAGGGGAGAATAAATTAACGTCTGGGAACACTTTCTTATAAATAATCATACCTGTTGTATCTCCTTCGCACTAGGTTCGCACACCTTGTGATCACACCATTATCAATTACTCATCCATTTAGGTGCTCTAAAGTCAGCGTAGTCAGCAGGAATGGACGACCCTAACCAGATGCAATTATTGAGATTAAAAATAGCTACTTTCAGGAGTGTTGCATTGGCAATTGGACGGCAGTACTTGCTTCCAGTCAAATACATATTGAGTTACACATCCTTTATGAGCCCATAAAAGCACTATACGGCCGTTTTACCCTTTTGTGAATCGTCAGCAGTGAGTAACTTGTTTGCCATTATGACATAATTACGCGTTTCTTCTTTTATTAGACCTCGGTTAAGATCATTTAGCTACACAAAAATTTAACGATTGCCCACGGTCCAATGAATTGCATGTCAGTTCGTTGTAGAATAGCTCCCGCAATTTAGGACCTACGAAGCCAACTGGAATGTGACCTTAACATGGTTTGGTCCGCCTATTCATTAGAAAGGAATAGTAGTAGACGTTTGGTAGTATGGACAGAAATACCCACATTTAGACATGATTAAACACACATCACTCGCTCGGAAAGCATTAAACTTCCGTTTCATCCTTTTATAATATTGCACTGTACATTCAAATTATGCTGCACAAGCACTGATGTAATATTTGGGATAGCTATTCTTTCACTGACTTTGCCAAAATATATCAAGGAAACGATGTCATCTTATTCATAATATCAAGTGAACCTCAGCCGAGAGCTAGTAATTGCTTGCTAGGATATCATCCCACAATGGTAGTACCAAGAAACTTTGAACTTTCATGCAATACATAGATATATGCCAGTAGTAGTTATGCTCAGACATAACTGGTGATACAACGTACGTAGATAACGAATCCCACAATCTGATCACTTTTTGCCTAGCTCATTAAAAAAAATTCGGTGGGCACCAGGAGACACTGTGTGAACGCTTGTGTTGAAAAGCAGTGCTTCCAATACAAAGATTGTTGTCGGCATATACCGTATATGACCAAATATAAGCCAGTCCATGGATAGGCCGAGAGTGTAATTTTACAACATAAAATTAGTAAGTCCGTATAATAGTAGACCAACCAAAAATCTACCGGTAAGTGCTTTCCGTCATGTTTTCCTTATGTTTATTTATATTCCCGTATCTTTCTCTTAAGGCCATCTGTCTCGAATGTCAATTGTGCGGTGTACAGATTATTCTTGCCACAATATGAAGTGTATTGTTATAGACATGCTACCCCCATTTGCTTCGTGGACACGGTACGAAAAATAGACACGTCAAAAGCAGGTCACTAGGGGGTGGTGCTAAGCGGAGATAGGGGCAGAGTTGGGCAAATAATACTTGGTGGGGTTTCGGTCATATTTGGCAGTTGGTTAGCGATCATCATTGTCTGTTTGGCGTGCATCGAATCCAAACGCCCTTCCAGGTGTTTTTCAGAATCCGGAAGACGACAGTTGGGCATTAAGCCCCCAGCAACAAGCATGGTTACATTATACTGTGCCACGCGCAGTACAGACGAGAGATGGTAGTGGAAATCGTCTTTGCTACCCTCCGAAATGTAGTCAGTAGGTGCATAAATGATTACAATGTGAAGGAAAATCGCATGCTAAAGAACTATCCATTTACTAAAATCAATTGTAAAATTTGATAAGACGAAATACTGGTTAACTGTTCCTTTGTCTGCGGCTGTTTATTTGGTAGTAATCAATGAAAGAGATTTTATTACAGGTACTGGCACAGCTTTATGTTGACGGGAATTGCGCTTGCTGCAGTAGCTACTTCTATGGGCCTTCAAAATGCGATAAATAATATTAGTTGTGCCTATTGTTAATACTGAAATCAGCTGGCGTTATTTCAAACACTATGATACTATCCAAAGTTAAGGAGTTTGGTGCACATATGCGAAACAATTGAGTGTTTCCATTAAGTCAACTACAAGTGAGGACACTGGCTTATACAGTGTTGTATATTATGGCCGGCAATGCAGTCTAGTAAGGGTGAAACAACAAAATTTAATACTTTAATACCGCATAAAGCCTATGGTTTAAGTAACAGTTCGTGTGTTTACGTGCGCAGGCTTATTAGTTAAGATCACGAAACTTCAACTTACTTCATTACAAAAGGTGTGGGATACGTCCAGTGAATGTGAGTTGAAAAACATTTTGATCCCATAGGTTGTAGCTACAATAATATTGGCACAAAATAGAGCTGTACACAAAAATCTATTTGCGTGTTACCTACATAAAATGGAACCCGATCGTAATATTCCTTGGATAGTTGATACAAACCTGAGAACACATTGACTACGTGTAGTATGTTTCACCCATTCATTAATATTCAACGGAATTAAATAAATAACAAGTTTGGCAAGTGGGGACTTGATTTAACCGGGTTAAACATACCATTTGTATTGTCTGAAAGCCACCAATTTGGTCCGACTGCTGTTGCACATGGTGCATTTGGTGGGTTTAAATGTTGGTTCACGAAAGCAAGTTGTTCAAAATACTCTTCTTTTGGAAAATTGGCAATTTCGGAAGAATCCAGCGATATGCGGTAGGGTATAATGTATGAATCCGAATCCAACTTAATCGGCTGTGCGTGAGAGCAATCATACATTGCAGATGCTTGCCATTCTTTAGGGATTCTTTGTGAAAGCTATGACGGTAAATTGCAGTAGATTTCGTTATGTAACACAAAATAAGTTACATGCTATTTGGTGAAATTGCCTTATAAAGCAATATCTTACCAGACCGCACATTCCTTCCTTTTGACTTGGTAGAGTGTTAGTAAGTAAGCGAACTCCGATGGCTGTAGAGAAAAAATCAATGACGAGTTTCTCTTAGCCTATTGCTCAAGTTTTCGCTGTTCAGGGTAGAGGCAGTACACAGTTATTGTTCGAAATACAGAATGCCACATTAGAAGATGAAGGCATTTTGAAATTCCGTCAGTGTACTTATGGTGTATGTAATTGCGAATAATTTCCCACTTGGAGTACGGGTACCCAAACCGGTTCACTGGGTTTTAGGGTGAATGCACTCGTCAATCAATACAACTACTTATACACTTTGCAATATTCATGTATGAGTGGCCAACTTTTGTCGTTAATCTCGTAGCATAAAAGATGCACGACAGAAATAGTGCTTCTATTTTCAGTGCATTAGCTCTAGCAAAAACATTAGTTCAGTTCTGGTATAAACTGCCAGTACCTTACTGTATATTTAACACGGTATTATTGATCTTCTGGGACCACCGTGGCATGATAAATTTCAAGTGGAATTTTGTAACTAGTTTTCTTCCTTTGCTTTAGACTCTTTATATGGAAGTAACTTGTCCGTTGCTTTGGAGCCAAAGTGCTAGCAAGAAGTTTCAATAACCTACAAAATTGCAACTTTGCAAGTTGCTTCATTGCTCTTCGAAGCTACATCTATACGTAAATAACAAGGATGCGAATTAAAGGCTCCGTTTTTGTCAACGGCGGGCCTTTAATTTTGCCTTTGCCTCTCTCCCCCAAAACATTGTTTTTGGCGCCATCTATTGTAAACGTAGCAATTTTATTTGCCTCTGTTGAGGAGTAGTTTGGCTGGAAGTTTTCAAGCTCTTTGTGGTCGAACAACTCCACCGGCTCTTGGAAAAGTATCTGAGACACCGCGCAAAGCTCGCAGTTTTCTGCTTTAATCCAGTTGGAATAATCTAGCAATAAAAGTTTAACAAATGTTGACCTCGTCAACTGGAAGAAGGATCTTATAATTTGTTCTATCAATCTGCGGCCGTTGCTCAAATATTCGGGATGTTTACTTAAGTGCCAACTGTGTACTTTGCTCATTCTGTATTTAAATTTGTAAACTTTTATGTTACCGATGATGTTTATATCAAATTTTGTTAGATAATGTAAAATGCTGAAAATGAAGTCATCTGGATGACTTGATTTAAACATAACATGCACCTATTATTTCTATAGAGCTTACCGTATAAATGATACCAAATTGGAGGGCTATTTTTAACCACCCGTTGTGTGAGTGAGTTGCGACGCGCACTAGCAATGTATACTTCGATTCATCTTAAGAGGAGTCTTGGTCAATGCAATCACTGGGACCGTAGTAAAACCGGATTTAGAGTATATGTTGTCCGCCCGAACCTGCACAATCACGCTTCGTTTCAATCTAATTTGACTTCATCTTGTTGAATGTCATGCCGGAGACAAATTACCTTTGGAACGGTAGCTGAAACTTCTACCCTCTGGTTACCGGGTCACGACGGGCTACGCCCGATACAGCAGTTGACGACGGATAGGTGGGTCATTTGGTTTAGTTTAACAACACAACGAATATATTATGTAGAAAATTGAGGTTTCTAAGTAGTATCATAAATGTCTACACCTTTACTCAGTAAACTTCATCCATAACGCTTTCAAATACGGTTTCAAGTAAATCGGTTTCATCCATACAGCTTTCAGAATAATCCTTTAGGTATTCATTTATCATCCTACGGGTGTAAACGCCCAAAGGCGCGCCACTCGATGAGTGCAATATCCCAACTCAACCAATAGCATAGCAGACCAATTTATCATATGGATTAAGAGAACGCTTGGCTGTGGCCCAGATCGCATGCGAGTTTGTGGGTGCCTAGTCCCGCTGAACACCTGTATCCAGGCACAATTGGCCGCATTAAAGCTATACGCAAGCAAGGTGGCATACTCGTATAACTCACGTGGCGCCATCTGTGCTTATCAGTAACGAGTGATCATGGTGGTTCGTACGTAACATTTCAGGCATTTGTATTTCTGCGTGAATTTTGTTTGCGCGGTGTGTCCGCGCACCTTGTCGCTGAGCTACGCTTAAACTACAAGACACTAATATGACTGTGTCCCAATGAACTGGTCTTTGAGAATAATGACATGAGGTCGCTCACGCATACCGATTTCGAGATCGGATGGCACGGAATTTGGGTTAGTGGCTCTAGGGGGCGGTAAGAGCTTGTTGACCGCGGTGCGTTTTGGGGTGCAGCATGCTTACTGAGCGTAAGGTTGAAAAGTCTGTGCTTGATGAATGTAGCATTTCGAATCAGGATGAGTGCGCGCGCACCTTCTGTACTTTGGCATTCGCACGGAGGTTTACTCGCCTATTGCTTTTGTGACACCTTTGTTCGACTGAGCTTGCTCCTGAGGAATATTTCATATAATTGCCTCGTGATTCCCATTGCAACCGTTAATCCATGTAAGTGCTGGAATGGGTTGTCCAACTCTACTTAAGCATGAGTTGTGTTGTTGCAAAACAGACCGAATGTAACAGGTCGTTTCAGAGGCGACACAGAAGAACAGAAAAGCGATTTCCGTAACACACCGGATGAATTATAGTTTTCTGCCAGTTTCTAGGAATGGTCTTAGCTAGGTATTATTGTTAACTTGTAGTAAATAGCGGTGCACATGTTTAGGGTAGCTCAGAAAAATGTAATCAGTAGCCGATTGTTAGGTAACCAACAATACTCTTTGTTACCGTATGTTCTTATGATCCAACTGACTGTCGTTCACTACAGTGCAAATTTCAGTTCACTTTGAGTTTGCTTGTAGCAATTCTTGCACATAACGAGTACTTCAAAGCGACTCTCTAATCACTGGCACTTTTAAGACCTACGGCTTGCAAGTACATCAGCCAGCAATAGCTAATGTTCATGAGGATCAATGGATGCATTGTAGAAGACATATGTCCAATTTGGGCATTGGCTAACACATAAACTGGTCGTTGCGAAATTGCAAACAGTAAACACTTTAACAGTGAAGGAATGTACTGAATTTGGGAGTCAAATCCACCATTATACCCGGAAACTTGTTCCCTTTGTTTGCGCCTTATTGTAGTCCAATTTTCATGCACGGTGTTAAATTATATATAAGTGGTAAAAGGTTTGCGATAAAGCAAATAGGCTCAGCAAAATTGTCTTTCAAAAAGTTAGTGAAAACTTGGGTTTTAGTTGACATTTTAATTTGATTTTGGTTCACTTTACATAGCGTACATTTTACGCGCGTATACGTACAGTAATGCATGAAGAATTTTTCATCACTACCTTATCGTGCACTGCTGCGCTTGGAGTCATTCAGTGTGAAGCACCAGCTATACTCAATGGACCCGGAATTAAAGCTGTATTGTCGTTGTATTAATTACGCCACCTCATTTCTAGTAAAGGATTTGCTTAAGCACATAAGCAAAGACACCGCAAATTTGTGTGCAAACCCATATAATTACACTAGCTCGAGAACACGCTTTAATAGCTCTTTATCCAACTCCAGCTGAAAACCATGGATCATTGTGTACTGCAAATGAAATTCATATTGCAACCACAGATATCACATATATCAAGTCACCGTAAAGCCAACTTCGCTTATACTGACCGAACGTGCATGTTGCTGCGTCTAACGTCGCTCTTCCAACCGCGTTGCAGCTTTAGCAAGCATCTAGCAATCGTACGATAGATATAAACTGATGCCCATGGTCAGCGAAATAGCACTCAGTAACCCAAAGTACTACGACATAGTCACGGTTTCGGCACTTTTTTCTCATTCCATATTATGAAGCAGGATTCAGTCGTTATAATCGTGTCCTTGATATTAATTCTACTTCGGGGTAGCTGCTTATCTAACAACTTACATTTGATTCAGTCGCAACCATGCAATACATGATCATTATTTCTTGCGTCTTAATGAGCTTTTATAGCTGATCATTGAAGTTAGCTAGATCATAAGATTACATATTCTAAAATTCCGAGGAAACTTCTTGTTTATCAGAATACACCCGGCAGTTAGTGTTGGACAACCAGCCGTAAAGTCGAGTAATGCCAAGCTCGATATTAAAAATTATTTAGCTTATCCTGACCATAATACAAATTTGGTGGTAAGAGACCGCATGGAAAATAGTAGCGTCCAACAAACAATAGCTCCTAAAACTTAAAACTATGTTCCGTTGCATAATCTGACATCTGCAACCCCCATCCATTTTCACAGACTCGAAGAAAAGCTAACCGCATTAAACGAAAAGCCCAAATAAATTTAATCAGTTGATGCACAACCTGACATCAACCTAGTTCTTAGTAGCTGTGCCTGATAAAACTATGGCAGCTCCTTTTGAAAGACAGCATCGATATTTCTTCGCTCATCAGGGAAACCTGTGAAAG